GGTTTGTGGGACAGGGAGAACCTAACAGAACTGGGTCCTAGGGAGAAAGAGGCCTCCACCACTCTCAAAAATGCTGTCACCAAATACCTGCAGGATTCCCACCTCAACAGACAGGAATCAGAGTTAAAATTCACTAAAACAAAACTTGTATTGAGAATATATGCTATCTGATGTTGCCCTATACTTTAAACCATCATTTATAAGAAGAACAATATGAATTCTTTGGACAAAAATTAATTAGCACACTTAATTTCAAAGAGAGCAATGTGTCCAACTACTCAGTAAAAATCCAAGATGTTGTTTGCTAAATAATTAAATTTGGAAAGTTTAACTTAAAACCTAAGTAAATTTTAAAATCGGCACATGAACATATTATTCGTAGTATTAAAAATGATATCTATAAACTGGTTACAGCTTCATTCATTTGGGTTATTTTCATAATCAGTAAGGACTGCTAGGAACAAGATAAAAAGATAATGGTTTAAATCTGTGGAAAAATTATTCCTCTCCAGAACACCTCATTTCTTTTCTTCCTCTCTTATTCTATTTCCTCACTCCTCCTTTTTCTCTCTTGTAGTATAAAACACTCAAAAATTTTCATTTACTTTTATAGTTTTTAAATTTATATATAATTTATATATTATTACATTTAAATTTTATATATATATAGCCTAATATGCCAATTGTCCCTACAACCGTTCAACTGTTCAACCAGTCACTATGATGGGTACTGACCACCAGGGGATAGATGCTCCAACAGGTAGGTTAGCTTGCTGCTGGGGTCTGGCCAATCAGGACTGGGCGAGGTGGGCCAGACACGCCCTGGAGCCAACCTCCCCCAGTTTCTCCCCTGTGGGCCAATCTTCTGCGGTCCCTCCCCGGCCTCTAAAATATTTCTTCTAATTAATTTCCTTTCAATGTGCACAAATCTGTGCACCAGGTCTCTAGCCTAGAAATAATCCTGGTGAATCTTCATTTTACTGAGGAATGCAAAGGATAAAAGAGTGACCTCCAGCCATTCCTCATCACCACAGATCAATTAGTCCAAACTGAACTCACTGACAGAACAGATCTGGCCTGTCTACCAGATTCTTAAACCTCTCCAGGGAATGAGATTCTAAAACGTAATATTCCAGGAAGTGAGTAATAGTATCTTTCTTTTCCTAGTGAGAAAAATTATCTTTCATTTCTTATAACTCAAAGTTCCCTGCTGAAATAGAAGTCTATGTTATTTTGTTTGGTTCTCAGCCAAGTTAGAGAAGACCTGAGGAATAACTTAATATGCATATTAAAATGATAACTCCCCGGAACTTCACAAAGGATATCAAAGAACAGCATTGTCAAGCCCCTCTAGATTCTACACAGAAGTTTAATTATAATAACAAGGTTTTTAAAGATGAAGCCTGAATATTAGTAAGATTATATGACACTACATACGTATTTCTTTAGTTCCACCAGGGAATAGATAGGAGAATAACCACTGTACCAAAAAGTAGCTAGAATGAGAAAATAAGATCTCATTTATTTTGGATAGAGGAAAAATTATGTTTAATAATTTAATCAGGTAAAATGAAGCACTCAATATTCATCACTAGTAGTTATACAGAGCATGTAATCATTAGTCTTACCCTTACTGCTTCTTCTTCCTCACTTAAAGCTGTTATTTTAACTTCCTGTCACATTTCCATAGCAACTAATGCCTCCAATTTTACAGCTACAGCACAAGGAATTGTTTCCAACTATTCTAAATGCTCCATTATCAGTTGTCAAAGTTGTTAAAACTTTTGGCTATCCTTCCAAAAAGCTAGCTTCTCCCCTGTACAGTGTGAAGGCATCACCTTTAGCCTAAACCTCCCCATCAACTGATCTAATTTCAAAATATCAATCCTTCTTCTTAGTTGACGGGGGTAGGCTCTGAGAGAAATCAAATAATAATACCTACTGCCCCACCTGAGTGCTAAACCAACAGAAATAAGGTAAGTGGAGAAGCAAATACCACCTTCATTACTGCGCGAGGCCAGAATGGAGGGCAAAGTTCAGTGCAGGAACAAGATGGATTGTAACTGAACCCCTTTCCCCGGAAGACAGACATGGCAGACTATCCTGGCAGCACTGGACCCTCCATAGGGAAGAGAAGCTGCCCCAGGAGAAACACACTCAGTGGGCAAGCTGGGTCCCCACAAGAAAATAAAGAAGAGCTGAATGAACAAGCCTAGATTATTCTTCCTCAATTTATCACAGATGTCACCCCTCCAGTTAGCTTGAAATGAGTCAACTGGCAGAGAAATAAGGCGTTACACTAATTTAAATCCTCCTACTTGGAAGGAAATACTAGGAAAGAGGGAAACTTGTTCTCCTTCCTGCCCCTCCCCCAACATTTCAAGAACTACAGACAGCATTCTTTTGTGACAAGGTGTCTACGGGTTTCCATATACTTCTAGTAAGCCATGGACATGCAAGTTATAATAAGAATATTTTAGTCTTGCCCTGGCCTGTGTGGCTCAGATGGCTAGAGTGTTATCCCGAACACCTGACTAGATCCTACCCCAAACCCTGTTAAAATCCAACTCTCCATCTACCCAGTCACTACACTGAATGAACCTGAAGAAGATAAAAACCATGCTGATTTATGTAACTTCATAGCTATTTTCAAATTGGCCCTCAGAACTGTTCCACAATCTCACATTCCTTTGTCAATCTATCTTTTCACATTCCTAGATTAGAAGGGAAAACATATGTTGAAACCTAATCCCTATATGATGGTTTGTTTTTTAATCCTCACTCAAGGACATGATTATCAATTTTTTTTTCTTTTAGAGAAAGGGGAGGAGGGAGGGAGGAGAGAGAGAGAAACATTGATAGATATGTACCTTGGTATGCCCTGACCAGGAATCAAACCTTTTGGTGCACTCGACAATACTCCAACCAACCGAGTCACACTGGCCAGGGTCATATGATGGTATTAGAGGGCAAGGCCACTGGGAGGTGATTGGGTCATAACCCTCATAAATGGGATTATAAAGAGACCCCAATGTGTCAATTATATCTCAATAAAATTTGAAAAAACAAAACAAAAAATAAATAAGAGACACCAGAGAGCTGCCTTGGCCCTTCTGCCATTTGAGGTTATAGCAAAATGAGACTCATTTATGAACCAGAAAGGGCTCTTAACAGACACTGAATCTGTCAGCACCTTGATCTTGGATGTCCCAGTCTCCAGAACGGTGATAAATTTCTGTTTATAAGCCTTCCAGTCTATGGTAATTTGTTATAGCAACCCAAATGGACTAAGTAACTATACCTCAGCAAAACAGGGGTACTGTATTTACTTTTCAGCATTGTGAGAATTAAATGAATTAATAAACGTAAGGCACCTAAAATAGTGTCACAAAGTACTATTTAAGGCTAGCATTGTTATCCTAGATGATTTCACAGCGTACTCTCTCGCCTCAAACTTCTTTTCCCTGCTCTTTCTCTTCATTGATGACTTTGCTCAAAACAGAAGTTCTACCTCTTCCCATGAGCAGTCTTCCCATTTACTTAGTTACACTTTGCCTTCTGTACAACGACAGATAAACTGTTATTATTCCTGAGGTCACCTCCTCCACTTGGGCTCCCCTCTAGTCTACTCAAGTGAATTACCTATTTTTTTCTTCTCTATTGGGACAACCCCATCAGCATACGAAAATGCCATAAAACAAACCCATCGTGGCTCCACACCTCTCCCCAGATATAGCCCCTTTCCTCTACACATGATAGAAAAATTCCTTGCAAAAACTGTCTCTAGTGCCAGTTTACACTTCCTTCTCTTTCATTCTCTGTTGACTCCACTCCTATCAGTCTCCCCTAGCACCACAGGCCTCATTCACCGGGTCCTTCAGGTCTTGAAAGGCTCCAGCTCATTCAACTTGTTGGGAACTCTTCTTCCTGGACGGATCTACCCACCATACCTGCCTAAGGGACTCCCCCTCTTCAGGGCTGTCAGCTCAGCTGAGGGTCCACAAAGATGCTTTCTTCATCAACCCTATCAAGAGTAGCCAGTCTCACCCCCAAGTCAGTATCACCTTAACCCAGTGGTTCTCAACCTTCTGGCCTTTTAAATACAGTTCCTCATGTTGTGACCCAACCATAAAATTATTTTCGTTGCTACTTCATAACTGTAATGTTGCTACTGTTATGAATCGTAATGTAAATATCTGATATGCAGGATGGTCTTAGGCGACCCCTGTGAAAGGGTCGTTTGACCGCCAAAGGGGTCGCGACCCACAGGTTGAGAACCGCTGCTAACCAATTGTACTTTCTCTACAGCACTACTATGTAAAATTATCTTCTGTTGGTTTAAAAAATATACTTATACATACTTTCTGCCTTCTCACACCTACAATATAAACTTGGTAAAGAGTAACCTTCGCTCCCTTGTTACCTGTTGTATTCCCAATGCCTGGCACAGAGAGGACAACTTAAAAATTAGTTCTGGGATGAACCAAAATCGCAGCCAACTCTTACTCTACAAAACAAACCGAGACTGAAAGAGCTAATTAAATGACTTGCCCAAGGTCGCCCAACCAGTAAATGGCTGCTTTGGGGCTTAAGGCCTGGTCTACTTCCAGAGCTCGGGTTTTTGATGACCGCATCCCATGACTTCACTACAACTATGTCCGTTTACCATGCTGCTTGCGAGTGGGTGTTTGGCGCGGAGGTCTAAGCTCCCACACTAGGCACGTGGCCCACACGCCGCTCCCCAGACGCAGGCGGGGCCTCTCCTTCCTCGCCCCCCCAGCGCACCGAGCCCCGCCCCCGTGGCTTTGCCGACCGCGCCAGTGCCGCACTGTGAGCGGGTCCATGTGCCTTCTGCCTCCGGCATCCACCTAAAAAGAAATAAACTCCGATCTAAGTTATATATCCCTGAATTTCAAAAAGATTAAATAAGACGTAGGTTCTGGAAAGTGGTGCACATTTGTGTCTTTCAACTGCGAGGCTCCAGACTCGGGTCAGGCGCGGCGCAGACAGCCGCAGGGGTCCTTGGCGGGGCGGGGCCTGCTCGCGGGGGCTTGCGGCTCCTTCCCGTGCAGCCTCTCTCTTTCGCTCAGGTCCCGTGGCGCCAGCAGGATGGGTGAGGAGTCCCTGCGGGGTGGAGGGGATCGCAACCAGCAGCCGGGGTTCCGGGGGCAGCGGGCGGCGGGGAGCGGAGCGGAGAGGAGAGGAGAGGAGGACGCCGCGGGGAGGACCGATGCGGGAGGCCCGGGGAACCTCCGCGCCCGCCGCCACATGGCCCGAGGCCGATGGGGCCCCGTGCGGCCCAGGCCACGGAGCCCGCGGCGGGAGGGGAGCTGGGCGGCCGACGCTGCTGCGGGGCCTGGGGCCTTCGGGAGGATGCACCCATGGGAGCGCCAAGTAGGACGGGGGCGCCTTTTCGGGGGAACTGAGGGGATTGTTGCTTCCAGGCAAGTGTCGCGGTCTTCGCACGGCCCGGAAGCTGCGGAGCCACCGGCGGGACCAGAAGTGGCATGACAAGCAGTACAAGAAGGCCCACCTGGGCACGGCGCTGAAGGCCAACCCTTTCGGGGGCGCGTCCCATGCGAAGGGGATTGTGCTGGAAAAAGTGTAAGTGAAAGTTCATTTTATTTTGCTGGGGCGACTCCTACCTTTAAAGCAGTCGTGGTGGGAACCCCAGGTCTCGGCGTAGCTGCAGCATCTTTATTTGAGAGTTGGTAACATGAGGGTTCGGAGGCTAGACGACCGAGGGTTTTAATAAACCTTCATAGTAGCTGGAGGAATCGGGTGGGAGTGGAGGGGAGAAGTAAGGGACAAACCGCAGGACGTGTAGGGACGGTTCTGAGCAGTTGACGTCCATGAACTTTTTCATGCAGCCAATCACATCTTCCTACCTGAGAGGTTTACAGCTAAAGTTGAACCACATCACGTGAATTTACAGTAGTGCTCAGTGGTTTTTTTATTTAATAAAATCATACTCTCATATCCAGTCAAATTCTTTGACAGTCAAGATCTAAATTCAGAATTTCCTGTTTTCGTATTTTACAACTATAGAGGGGCCCGTTTCTCCTGTTGTGCTAATGACCCTAAGACAAGAAATACTTGGTTGAAATCACAGGCATTTAGCAATTTAGGAATAGATAGAAAAGGTAGGCACAGTACAATTTCTAACACGTTTTGTGCTGAATGAACTAAAATGTCTCCCTTTTCAGAAAATCAACTCTTGTGCTGTTTATGTTTCAGGGGGGTTGAAGCCAAACAGCCCAATTCTGCCATCAGGAAGTGTGTCAGGGTCCAGCTGATCAAGAACGGCAAAAAAATCACAGCCTTTGTACCCAATGATGGTTGTTTGAATTTTATTGAGGTAAGTGCTTTTAAGTCTGATGTGGCTTCTGTTCCTGGGGCTGTTCCCCCGTTATCTTATATGATGAATCTTTTTAGTGATTGCTACCGATACCAGAATAAACTGTCGATTTTATTCCAGGAAAATGACGAAGTTCTGGTTGCTGGATTTGGTCGCAAAGGTCATGCTGTTGGTGACATTCCTGGAGTTCGCTTTAAGGTTGTCAAAGTAGCCAATGTGTCTCTTTTGGCCTTATACAAAGGCAAGAAGGAAAGACCAAGATCCTAAGTTCTGATGGTGAAATCACAGTAGTAATAAATTTTCATATGCCTAAAATGTGTTTGTCTATTTTCCTTACCACAGACTGTATTGTGTATAACTTACCAATTTTAGGAGATTGGGGAAACAGTTAATTCAGAATTCTCTAGAGTAAATGGGATTTGTAGCAAAGTTTTCCCCCCATCCATTGAATAAGCAAAATAACAGTAAATTTAAAAAATTGGCCCCAGCCGTTTTGGCTCAGTGGATAGAGCATTGGCCTGCAGACTGAATAGTCCCAGGATCGATTCCAGTCAAGGGCATGTACCTTGGTTGCGGGCACATCCCCAGTAGGGGGTGTGCAGGAGGCAGCTGATCGATGTTTCTCTCTCATCAATGTTTTTAACTCTATCCCTCTCCCCTCTCTAAAAAAATCAATAAAATATATTTTAAAAAATTTGCCTGGCTGGCCTTGCTCAGTGGTTGAGGTTTATCCTATGAACCAGGAGGTCACAGTTCAATTCCTGGTCAAGGCACAGGCCAGGGTTTCGAGCCCAGTCCCCAGTAGGAGGCAACCAATCAATCTCCCTCTCTGAAATCAATAAAAATATATTTAATAAATGAATCTAGATTGGTAGGAATCACCTTGGATGCATCTTGGGACCCAATATAAATAACACTCAAATTGCTCCCTGCTCTGTTTATCTAGTATCTAAAGGTCAGTGTCCATGTAGCTTCTGTGGTTATGACAGCAAAATTGAGGCATTGGATGATTTTGACAGCAAAATTGAGGCATTGGATGATTTAATAAAGTGGATTTCAGGCATAGAAGAAAAGCTTGTTCAAGGGAAGACCAAGTATACAAAGCGTTGTGGGTCCTGAGTTTGTCAGTATTACAAAGAACAGTAAGGGAAGTGAAGGAGGTAGTAATGGTCAAGATTGGTTGTGTTTTAATAATTGTTGAAGCTGGGTTTTGAGTCCATGGGGGCTCATTGTCCATGAGTTGTTTCGCAATTTGTATAGGGGGAAAATTTTATGTCTGCAATGAGGCTCATTAGCCTTAAGTCTGAGAAACTGCTATTGGTAGCATTAGTAAATATGGGTTGATTTCCATCTAACCAAAGCCTAGTGTTGGGTTAGGGTGCTTGGAAGATGTTTGGGCTTCCCATTTCTCAAGATCAAGATGAGTTCTGAAAGGAAACCCAGTGTCACTTTGTTCAAATGTGCGTTCCTCATCCAGCTTCAGGAGGTGCGTGGCGTTTCCCCTGCTGCTCATTTCACACATGTTTATCCTTGTCAAATGTTTGAGCGGTTATCTATTTCCACAGGAGTGGAGAGGCCGTTTTTTGTTTTTTTTTAACTGACATATTTGACAGCATTGTGTAAATTTATCTTGTTAAATGTGAAAGGCTGGCTGCACTTGGTTTCCATCCCAGCACTTCTAGTGTGTGTAGTTAGTTGCACATGGTATTCCTTTCCAAAGGCTGACCAGATGCTTTGGGATTAGCATACCTGACCCAACCCGGAGATCGCTGGGCCTCATTCCCCTGGCCTGGACCAGAAAAGCCCAGGGAGGGCCCCATGCTGGGTTCAAGTGTGGGCAGTGCGGGTAAGTTCACAGGTACTGCTGGAGGGAGGAGGTGCTCCTGGCCAGGAGGAGAGGGTAGCAGTAACTGCTGCCTGCCTGCAGCCTCCGGTCCCCTACAGTGTTGAGACCTCTGTCAACCTGTAAAGAAACATGCCCAGAAGGAAGAAAACACCCTGCAGTGATGGCTCCTACTTGTCTCCAGGATGCACCCAGGACACAAAGCCTATGGCTAAGTGACTGACAGACACTGAGGACCTGAAGCTCAAACAGCACCTGTGCTGCTAAGGAGCTCTCCTCCCTCAGAAGAGGAAACCATGGCCTTAGATCACTCCAGTCAGAAGTACCAGCTCCCTCTGCAGGTCCTTACCAGTGATCTTAATTATTTGTGATACAAGTTATTGACAAATTCTGTTCTCTAGTCTACTCAGCGTGGGAGTGTTTGTTCATTTGTTTAAGTTTAGCTTTAAAACTTATCACTGTAGTTAACTAGAAATAGAAAAAATAAGGCCCTGGCCGGGTAGCTCAGCTGGTTAGAGCATCATCCTGATACTCCAAAGTTGTGGGTTTGAACCTGTCAGGGCATATACAAGAATCAACCAATGAATGCATAAATAAGTGGAACAACAAATCAATGTTTCTCTCCCTTTCTAAAATCAACAAGTAAATGGGGAAAATAGGAAAAATAGAACAAGGAGTCATGTTACTTGGCTGGGTTAAAAGTATAGGACATACTGAGCATACCAACATTTTCAAATAAGTTTAAATGCTAATGAATATATTTGTTTCTTCTTTTAGCAACCAGCTAATACTTAAATGTGTACAATAATGGGTAGAGTAAGCCACATAATTTCTTACTGTAGTAACAGCTGAGAACAGTTGAAATTTACTTGTTGAAACATTTGTCCATTAAAACCTGCTTTAGAAACAGTGATATGAAATAGTTTTGTCATACCTTTTTCCCCCAACAGCTTTGTTTAGAATTTATTTATCCAGCTTATAATAAGGTTTTTTTCTCTGGTTGGCAGCTTCAGGTATAAAGCCCCATCCTCAGAAGTAAAAGCAGAGGACAAAACCCCAAAGATTTTAACAGCTACGAATGGAGTAAAAGGACAGAATACAGCAAATAAAAAGCATTCCGAATGCACTTGTAAAAACAACATAATGGCTACAACTTTAAAATGTTTGAACAAATATATATAAAGTTAAGGGGGTTAAATGAAGCAAACATGGCAATAATTGTAATTGCTGATTCTGATTTTAAGTATGTGAGGATTCATTGTACTCTACTTTTGAGTATGTATGAAATTTCTCATAATTCTTTGAATTACATACACATTCTAGTTTTTAACTCCATGCTTCTGGTTGTAAAGGAATCAGTACATGGACAGTCAGCTCTGACTGGAGGGAAGTGGAGATGTGGGCAATCAATCGTGTGGACCATGCACAGGATGAAAAATTAACCCAGCACCATTGAGAAATGTATAACATCGGGAAGGAACAAAGCTGAGAATGCATGCATATTTTAGCAAGACAGGAAGAGAAAAAGGTTTGATTCAATAATAAAAGCAAGGTAAAAGGAAATTATTTCCAAAGATTTTAGGAAATGGTAAAACAGATTGCTGCTGGGAATGTAAATTGGTGCAGCCTTACTGGTGCACAATTTAGCGACATCAAAAGTCTTAAGACATTCCATATCTTTTGATCTGCTCATTCCCTTAAATACAGACCTTTTATTTTTACATACATTATATATGCACTATAGAAAACTTAAAGATAGCAACTGTTCCTGCACACATTTCTGACTGAATGACATTTTGAAAAAAAAGCTCTGTGACAGAGGGGCCTCATCTGCTCTACTAACCACCATATCCCTAGCACAGGTCCTGACAATGCAAGAAATAAGTACTCAATGAATAGATGGTAAATGAACAGAGAAGAATTAGAAATAACCTAAAACCCCGATAGTAGAGTTATTTAGTACATTTTTATCTAGAAGAAATACTAGTTATTTTAAGTTGCTTTTTTCAAAGACTACTAAATGACATGGGAAAATGTTCCAAATATAATGTTACATGGGAAAAATCAGGATGTACAACCAAATACAGAATGATCCTAATTAGATATGTTTAAACTAATACCAGAAAATATATCAACATTTTAACTGCAGCTTTCCCTGGGTGATATATATACTTAAACAATTTTTAAATTTTCTTCAAATGTTTCTATGGCTTCCAAGTTATCTAAGGACTAAAATCCTTTTCAAAAATGAACTTCAAGTTTCACAGTCTGTGGATAGATAAGTGGAGCATTACAAAAAAAGCCTCGGTCGTCTAGGTTAACTTCCAGTCCAAATTCCCACTCTCCACCCTCCTAGGTAACTAACTTCTCTTACAAGTCTGGCATGCATCCTTCCAGACCATTTTTTTTTAACCTACATTATATATGGACTATAGAAAACGTGTGGTATTGGTGTATTTTTGATATAAAATAGTATTGATTGCACCGTTTACATCGGTTTTTTTTCTGTTTTAACTGTTTATGAGCACTGCCTATTTTGATACATGGGATTGAATTAACTCCCCTTAATTGCAATACAGAATCACATTTTATTTAGCCAGCTCCCTATTAATAAGCAGGAAAAGCCTGGACATTCTGTCTCTGAACCTATTGAAGGAAGGGGCTGAGGAGACCACATCCCATTCTGCTGCTGGTGTCAGGGGAAAGGAATCTTCTCTAAGGATGGAGTAGGTGGCAATTCCCAATGAGGAAAGCAGGTCCAGTCCCTGGCGCCTGAAGAAAGGAGACCCTTTCCCTGGGCTCAGTGCCAACCCACATATACAGACCCTCCACAAAGACAGTACTACCAAGCACCAGGCACCACGCTAAACCCTGAAGGTCTGGCATACACATGTAAATAACAGTGCACCAAAGGCAGTAGATAATCTAGACTGTGACTTCCCATTAACATATCAGGGCATGCTTTGTTAAATTTCTCTCACTGTTATGATCAACAGTGATTTCTGGGTACTATTTTAAAAGCTTCAAAATAATCCAAGAAGTCATAGGCTTTATTCTCATGTAAAGTTAATGAATTAAGGAATAAATGAATACACGTGAGTTCCCGTTTTTTAAAAATAATTTACAAAATGGGACTTGGTGATCTCTAAAATTACTTTCAGCTCTAAGAATACAGGATACCTGCAACAGGGCTATATTACCACTAGGTGTCGCTATTGACAGCACAAAAGTTGAATAGAAAGCAAGGGCTTTACATTACTGCTTGAAAGAACACTACCAAATATAAGAACAAAAATGTGAAAGCACTTTTACAGACACGCCCTGTAAAAATCCAGGGGAGCAGCTGCGGGGACCTATGTACATATTAAAGTAGCCCAGTGCCATGTGCACAATAATAAAGTAGTTCATATATCCTTCTAGAACAATCTTCAGCAAGCTACTGGTCAGCAATATAAGGAAGTCAGGGGGGCTT